AAATCAGCGCCTAATAGCGTCAGCGCTGGAAACTAATTCGGCGTTCGTGATCAGGACACCTAATAACTCTACTATGCAAATTTACACAGAATTTAGTGAGAAAGGTGGCGGCGCCAAACTGGCGCCAGCGCCGAAAGCGAGTGCTATACAAAGTTTCACCGGAAATTTTTTTGACTTTCTTGGGGTAGTGATAGTTTACTAGTGTTTCCCTTTTTTTCTCTCACTATCTTATAATGGAATAGTGCTGGAAATATAAACGTATTCCCCAATTTTCTGAAACCTTATCCAACTCTATCTGTAATGGAAAAGAGGGTTCTTGCCTGAGCCTGAAGCGAGAAAGAGCTCCTTGATGGATGAACCAACTCTAATTAGGGTAACTTTCGTTGGATTACGTTTCATGGTGATACAGTCTTTTGGATGCCCCCTCGAACCCATCAGCGTCAAGTTATCTTTCACAGTGATATATTGCTTCACGTGAATATAATTACCAACTTACAGCAGCGTACTCAATGATATCCATGATGTAATAAACGTATTTCTGAGCTAAAATATAGACGACTTCACGTAGACCTCGTCCGGTTGTGTCGTTGCAGAGCTCACATAACGACATCAAAGCGGATACTCGGGTATCGTCATCGATATTGTGGCGCATTCTAAAGTGAAACTCAAAATACTATTGATTGTTGCTCATGAAAGACGACACTTACGTTCCAGCAGTGCTGCGCAGTTCGTCGAGCAGGTGAAGCACACGAAGACGGTAGAGAATCGTCAGCCGCATCTCAGCAGCGCTTGGGAATTTCTCATCGAATTCACAAACTCCCTTCTTCGAAATAATCGAAACTTTGAGAAATACTGTTCTCACTCTGCAATTGGAATCTAGCTCTCTCGAATCGGTGAGAATTCCAAAACTTCACAATAACAAGGAACTAACTTTTACGAGTTTAAAGCAGAAAGTATGGAAAGTAAGACCACGATGGGAAGAAGCTGACCTCGTTTTGTATATCGGCAAACAACTTCAGTTCTTTGAGCAATGGGATTAACTCCGTATCATGAATAATGAACATAGTTCCATAGTACTTATCATTCAGAAGAGATTGTACAAACTGTAGAACATTTGGAAATCGGTCAGCCACCCTTGACATGGTGAGTAATCGTACACAGATTCCGAGAAAATCGCTGAAACTTCCTAAGTAATGACTGGAACGTAAATTGTGGGTAGACATTCAATAAGACATAGTCAATAGTGCTTTCAGGTAACGTATACCTGAAAACACACCATATGATTACCTGACTGGTATAACCTTTTCACATACAACATTAGAAATTGCACAGCTGTAGAGGTGTACCACCCTCCCCATTCCGAAGTGTGAGGTAAGAAAGTTAAGGACATGTGATTGTTTGATGGTTCTGTTGCCTGCATTCGCCATTTGATAAGCCATACGACCACTTGACAGACACTGCCATTGTGGACCTTTTCGCCTGTACGGCGGCGTTCACAGTTTGCGATGACGCGCTGTTAGACTCAAACGCAGCCGCAGATGGGAAATGATTGGATTTGACCCCTTATGGTTAGAGAGAGTATTGGTTAGCAAAAGGGCAGCCGGTGCCGTCACACGATCCCTCTATTCCTCTCTACCTCTTCCAAAACACCACCGGCTGGGGTCGATCAATTAACGTCCGTTGAAATCATAGCATCTACAGCTAGCATAG